AAATGTCTGTTCATATCTTCTGCCCCTTTTTTAATCACATTTGATTTTGGGTATTAAGTTTAACAGTTCTTTATATATTTTGGATACTAAACTTAAGCCACCAGTTTAAATACCATTTTCAGCTTAAAGACATAGAAAAGAAAGGTGTGAGGACACTCATTATGGGGAAGGGGAGGATGGTTACCAGGAAAAGCACCATAAATAAGGGTAAGGTCTGTTATGCACATTTAAATCTGCAGCTTAACCATTGACACTCTTGATACCATTGATTCTCTTGTGATTTAGAGTCACACTTATCTTCCTGGTACAAAGAGGGAGACACCCTTACAAATGGAGATTTCCTTTATAAGTGTAAATTTTCCTTTCAAAAAGGTAACTTTTATTCTTTTCAGAGCTTTTCTGGTGTCTGCTATTTCCCAATCAACCCAAAATAATATATGCCATCTGCCCTTTTTTAACTGTATTATTTGTTTTTTGGGGTGTTGAGTTTGATAAGTTCTTTATAGATTCTGGATACCAGATCACTTATAAAAATCTTCTCCCAGTTCAGAAAAAGACAAATACCATATGATTTAACTCATATGTGGAATTTAAGAAATGAAACAGATGAACACAGTGGGGAAAAGAGAGTCAAACCATAAAACAGACTCTTAACTATAGAGAACAAACTGAAGGCTGCTGGAGGGGAGGTAGGGGGGATTGGCTAAATGGATGATGGGCATTAAGGAGGGCATTTGTTGTGATAACCACTGGGTGTTGTATGTAAGTGATGAATAACTAAATTCTAATCCTGAAACTAATATTATACTATATGTTAACTAACTGGAATTTAAATACAAACTTGAAATGAAAAATATTTAAAAATAAATTTATGCCCATGAGGCATATTTTGAGGTGGCATATTCTGCTCCCCTTCACTATGTGCTAACCCTAGATGGATGAAAGCCTTTTATCTAGTTTCTATAACTCTAAAACTTAGACAATGATATTTCTCTGACTTTTTGGTAAGATTGTTATGAAGAATATGGGACATATGGCAGGAAGAGTATATCATAAATGTAAAAATTCCATACAAATGTACATTAATGATAGTAGAATTATTTGTAATATTAGATTATAAACTTTTTTTAAATTTCTTTTTAGTTCATTTATTTTTGAGAGAGAAAGAGAGAGAGAGAGAGAGAGAGAGACAGTGAGTGGGGGAGGGGGCAGAGAGAGACACACACAGAATGAAGTAGGTTCCAGGCTCCATGCTGTCAGCACAGAGCCTGATGTGGGACTCAAACTTAGGAACTGTGAGATCATGACCTGAGCCTAAGTCACAGGCACCCCTAGATTATAAACTTCTTAAGGGCCTGGGTTAGGCTTTAATGATCACTGCATCCATCACATGCTCAGCAGAGTACTAACCAGTTATCTCAAATTCAATGGCTGCTCAAAAAAGAAAATAAAAATTTCCTAAATGAAATAAAGGGATGAAAAAGAAGGATGGAGTCTAGCTCTTTTTTACCTGCAGTCTCAGTTAGGATTTGGTGACTAATGTGGAAATGTTGGGTTGAGCAGCAAATGGTCAAGAAATAATTTTTGAGATGTCTTTGGTGCAAAAAGGTGGTGTTATTAAAGCATGGGGACAGAACCCATGGGCAGAAAGAGCTGCACTGGGATTGTGAGGAGCAATTAATTATATACTTTCAAGTTGGGAGAGGGTTAAGAGATGGCATACGTCTCTAAGGAATTTTGGAAGTAAGGTTTCCAGGACCTTGAGAGGCTAGCTATTGTTAGGAAAAGGTCATTTATTACTGTCTAATAAAACCTTAGTCATGAGAGCCTTCAGATATATATCAGGGGGTCATATGCTTGGAGGATGATTGCTAACATATATCTTGGTGGATAGAAATAAAGGAAGTTTCCAAAGGAATTTTTATATGTTAAAGGAGGCTTACAGGATCCTGGAGTTCAGAATAATGTTAAGCAAAGATTGCCTTTTGCCCTTAGCAAAGTATTAACACCAAGGCAGTTGAGTTCCTAGAGGTAGGTCACTCTGCCTGTCTTAAGGACTTGTCAATGGGCTATAAGTTGTAAGGAAATTTCTTTTTTTTTTCTTTTGCCTTTGTTTCCCACCATCAGTGACTTCCTTGCAATTTTGAAAGATTTCCAGTGCTGACTCATGCCATCTAGCCCTTTTAGAAAGTAACCACTTTGAAGAAGATAGTAAGTAAGGGACTTGGAGACTGGGCTGCTTTCCATTTGTTATTTCTAAGATAAGCCATTTCCAGAACTTTTCAAATTTTCTCATTTTGGTACACAGACAGAATTTCTGAAGTAAATTTTGTTTTTTTCCCTGGGAGAACAAATTTATGAAGTGGTGTATCACTACATGGACATATTTTACCTGGGGAAAAACTGTTACGATAAATGGGAAACATTCAGCTTTTTGCCTTTTTTTTTTTATCTTTGGAATTTCTTTGTGTGGTACAGATGTTAAGCCTTGTGAAGTATATAGTTTAGTACTTTGCACTACAAACAGAGTACAAGTAAGTGACCTTTGATAAGTTTTATGCCTAGCAAGTCTCTGGGATGAATCTGTTTTGTTTAGGTAGGGCAGACTACAAAACAAAAATCTCACTTTCATTCTGTGCTAGGAAATGAAGAGTATTATTTCTGCAACTCTTAAACAGGATATTTAACACTTTCTTAAAGTCAAAGAATAAAAGTCAAATAATTTATGGTGATGTAAATAAGAATGTGTATGTAACATTATTTGTGATCCTTTTGTTGGTAAAAATAGAGTAAGTTAGAAATGCATTAATTCTTTCTGGTCTGTGGAGCTCAAAATGGACTTGAGGGTTGAAAGATTTAATATTACTTGTTAGCAGGGAAGAGGTTGCTGTGTTGCTAATGTGAATGCTAATATTTAAGTAGCATTAGAAAGAACATAGGTAGTTTTGTGTCTCTCTTTTAAAATCACATTGTATCCAATATGTGTCAGCTGTAAAGTAATTTTCCAGAAATGGTCTGATTTTCTCCACTGACTTCCATTGTAGAACTAGAGTTGTGTTTTCATGGAAAATAAATTTGGCCCCAAGTTACAATACAACATACTGAAGAATTCAGAAAATCTTATAAAATCAGGTATTTTGAAACACACATTTATCAGGGCCTAATAAAATAATACTAGCATAAAATATTAATACACTATAGTGGAACTTATAATAGCATGCCCCAAACTATTATCCTTCTTTTACAATTCTAAGTATTTTACCTTTCCACTTAAAGATATTTTACTTCTGTGATCATTATTGCTTTCTTAAATGTAACTATAATTTTTAAAGGTGAATTTGGTTTCCTTTATTCTTCACTGTTAGCCCCCTTATCTTTCTCTGAAGCATTCTTACCAATTTACATTCAAAAGTTATTACCCATAGAAGAATGACTAGAAGAAAATGCTCCAGAATGTTCACAATGCTTGCATCTGAGTTGTTGGAAATTTGAGTTTGTTTGTTTTTGTTTTCTAAGTCACCTAAAGAGATAATTTTTCATATCTATACCCTCTATAATCAGTAAGAAAGTATTATAATTTCCTTCTTTAAGTATAAATTTATATATAATAATACATTTAGTCAGATATATTTATATATTTGAATCATTTATATTTTGATACTGATTGTTATCAGTTTTTTGATAAAAGTTTTACAACAATAATATAAATAATTTCTGGATAAATAGCTTTTCTAGAGCTTATTACTCAAACTGTATCCTGGACTGGCAGCTTCAGGATCACCTGGGAACGCATTAGAAATTCTCAGTCTCCTGGGCTTATCCTCAGGAAATAGCAATCTGGGTTCTAGGAAGCCCTGTGGGTGATCAAGGTTCTAGACCTATAGCAGAATCTCTCTCCCTCTTTCCCCTCTCCCTCTTCTCCCTTTCTCTGCATACCTCCCCCTTGCCTTTCTTCCTTCTCTCTCCCTCTGTGTCCCCTCTTCATGTGGGATTCACACAGACACACATATACGTAACCTATATATAATTCACTGTGACCTCTCTCTATATAGAATATGTGTATTTAAAAAGGGAAATTTTTCTAAGTTTTCTGTTGCTGTTTGTTTCTGTCCTACCTTGTCCATAAAAAGATAATTGAGGCAGTTTTCTGATATCTATACTTGTGCTTTCATTTAGCAAACATGTTTTGCTAATATATTAATGTATATTAAATAGTTCAGCCTACATTACAAATTTTTGAAACTCACTAACCAAAATAATGACTCTAGCAAGTTTTTATGGACTGGATTGTGTTCCTACAAAAATTCATATGTTGAAGCCCTAACCCCCAGAATCTCAGAATGTGGCTGACTGCATTTGGAGATAGGTTTTTAAAGAGGCAATTAAGTTAAAATGAAGTCCTTAGAGTGTGACCTACTCCAATGTAACTCATAAGAAGAGGAGATGAGGACAAAAACACAGGCAGAAGGACCACCATGTGAGGATAGAGCAAGAAGGTGGCCATCTACAAGCCAAGGAGAGAGGCCACAGAAGAAACCAAATTTGCCAACACCTAGATATCAGAATTCTACCTTCTAGAATTGTGAGAAAATACATTTCTATTGTTTAAGCTACTCAGTATGTGGTATTTGTTACTGTAATCCTAGTGAATTAGTACATAAGTAAAAATTATGGTATAATTCAATCTGAATATCTAGTGATTGCTTTTATGATACTATTGGATTGGGGCACCTGCGTGGCACAGTTGGTTAAGCCTCCAACATTGGCTCAGGTCTTGGTGTCACAGTTTGTGAGTTTGAGCTCCATGACGGGCTCTGTGCTGACAACTCGGAGCTTGGAGCCTGCTTTGGATTCTGTCTCCCTCTCTGTCCTTCCCCGCTCCTCCTCTTCTCTTCTTTTCCCTTTTCTCTCTCTCCCTCTCTCTCTCTCTCAAAAATAAATAAACATTAATTAAAAAAAAATAAGATACTATTGTATCATGTTCCTTAACAGAAAGCTACAGCTTTACAAAGAGTGCCAGAGACCAGTATGAAAAACTGTTCACCATGCACAACAACATGCTAAAGCTCTATGAGAATCTTGGAGAATACTTTATTTTTGACTCTAAAACAGTGAGCATAGAAGAATTCTTTGGTGATATCAGCAACTTCCGAACTTTATTTCTGGTGAGTAATATGGTACATCTTAGCATTGTAAGCCCTGTTGTTTTTGTGTTTTAAATAATTTCTCCTATTAGCATTTTATGTACCTATTGATCATACTGATTTCATGTTTTAGTCCTTTAACAGGAACTCACAGATATTTTATACCTGTGATATGGATAAAAATTGTTGGCAGGCTTAATATATAATGGGGACTTAAATGAATTATCTTCGACTTTAGGTATATATGGGAATTTTTGTACTGAAATTTTATAAGAAAATGAATGAATTGGTACTTGATGTTGATTTTTATATAGCATAGTATCATAATTTGACCTAGCTTAAAAGTTCATATCTAAAATCATCTTTCACATAATACATTAAAATGCTATGATTTGTGAATAAGTTTTTGTCAGTCTTTATGAGAAATCGATTCTAAATTAGACTTTGTAAATGACCTTGAATACTTAAATTTTCTTTCAAAATATCAGCTGTTTCAAACTGTAACTCTTGGGGATAACAGTAAATATTAGCATTAATTAGAGATGGGATATCAGGGTGCCTGTTATGATGCTAGAGGGAATCAAAAGCTTTACTGTATAAATGTTGTGGAAGTACTTGTCTGTATCCAGTGAAGGAATAGAAGAGCACAGAGTCCAATTATGATAGTAATAGAAAGATATGCATAGTAATTGATATATACATCATATCAAACAAGTAAAGTTTGATAAACTTTAAAGAAGGAATTCTAGCAGTTATCCCCAACAGGAAGATCAATTAGCAAACTAATTCATTGCAGTTTGAGGTATGTTTCTATCCCCAAAGCAATTATTTGCTAAATAAGGCTCTGTCTCTTAATTGACTGTATTGGCCCATGAAAAATATTGGATTTTGGTGTGACTTGCACAATCTGGGAGATACAGATATTTCTGTGGAAAATATTTGCTTTAATCTACTAAGTTACAACATGTAACCCAGAGCACATGCTATTTTTGGGTAGAAGCTAAGTCAAAAACTTTCATAAATATGATGTTTTGTTTTGGTTTTGGGTTTTTTTGTTTTTTTTTTTTTTTTTTTTTTTTTTTTTTTTTTTTTTTTTTTTTTTTTTTTTTGCTGAGAACAATTGCTTATTTTGGTCTTTGTTCTTTACTCCTTAATAAACACACATATTTAACTTTATAGCTGGCCAGGAAGTAGTAAAATGTGTTCTGACAATGACTCATGCAACTACTTTCAAAACATAAAGTTATAAATATGATGTGAACCTGTGAATGCCTATCTTATATCTACTTGGACTATTTTCAGGAAGAAAAAAATATGTTGAAAAATAATGGAGACTAGAAAATACACTTCAGTTGACACATTAAAAAGATGAATCCAATAAATTGTCTATGAATAGATGGAGATAAATATAATTAATAATGTTAATCTCTATTAAAAAGTGCCTTGTTTTAACATGGATTGGATCTGAAAACACTGTCTGTCATATTAGTGCCTCTCACTTCCCCTATAGTCACAGAATAGAATTTGATGTACTTCTCCCATTTTACAGTATTTGTTTAAGGACAATTCCTGTGTGGCAACCTATGTTTAATCATGTTAGCCAGATGCTTATAAATTTTGCCAAGAATTATACTTATAAATGATTATACTCCTGATCTCTAAGAATCTATCCCTCTTTAGAAATCTGTGAGCCATAGAATTTCAGAGAGTCATATGAATTACATACATAAATAGGATATATTTGTCTACTGGTTTTATTCTGTATGTAGCTTGAGTACAGGGAAATAATTTGTCACAATAATATAATAATAATTTGTTCTCATCGTGAATAAGTTAACATTCTGAAGTCCAGTTTTGTGTGCATTTATGTTAATTTCTTGAGATACTGCTAACATTGATTTTCAGAGCTTTCAAAACAGATAACCAGCTCCTACAATGTGCCCTGGTCAGCCATTGCTGTCTGCCTTTCAGAACACCGTTACTATCACTTTTACCTTACAAATCATGATTGACTTGCTGCCATGAGTTGTTTTGATCTTGGGTTGGTTATGTAACCTCTCTGGACATCAGTTTCCTCATTTATAAAATACAGATGATAATTCCTGCCGTGTGTTTCTCAACACTATGTGAAAACACTTCATAACCTATGCTATGCAAATGAAGAATATTATTAGCCATTCTCTATCCATCCATTTGATTATTATTTATTGAAAATCAACTTGATTTTGGTAACACTTTAGTCCAGAGATAAAAGGAAGAAAATCGTCTCTGTCCATGAATGAAAGGAGACAGGCAAGTAAATGCAATGTAATTTGATAAGTGCTGCCATAGGAATATGTCAAGGTGCTATAATAATGCGAAGGAGGAACTGCCTAACCTTGCCTGAGCTTACTCGAGAAACCTTCACTGAGAAAGTAACATTTGGGCAGAATCTGGAAAAACCCATGGGTGTTTGACACGCAGACTTTGACAAGCAGGTTTAAGGGTTTTACACCTGACCTATAAGCTGAACACTCCTAAATCAACAACACCAACTTCAGTCAATCATTTGTGCTCACCATGTTCCTGTTTCATAGGGAGCCTAAAGTGATTTTGCTCTCCCAGGGGTGGGAAGAACCGTGAAAGAGAGACAAAAATTGTAATCTCCAGAAGTTCCCATTTTCTTAGTGTTTCGTGTGTTTCGCTTCAGGGTTCTTACTGCTAAAAGCATTTTGGACTATAGATGGAAGCAATAAAATACCAGTATTGCTGAGAAGAAAATAAGAGTTCTGATTCATGTGCTATGAAAAATTACTTCCAAATGAGCTCAGAGTTTCATCTTGGGAAATCTATTTGGCATGTATACCATATACAAAATGCACATACCAAAAAATCTTCCTCAAATATTCTCTAAAGGATGGGGAAAATGGAAATAAACAAAAGGGTTTAACATAATGGATTAAGACCTTTTTAAAAATAATCACATTCAAATTAATGAAAGCAAAATTTGGTAATCTATAGGAGATGCTGCTATATTAATTATTGATATCAGCCACATTATATATTACTCAACTGAGGATGTTAAAGATATTCAAGGTGAATGTCCTATATAAGAGCATGAAGATATGTGTAATTGGAAACATTTCTAATTTCAGAATAAGTCTCTCTACTTAGCTTCCTGAGATCATCAGAATTCAAAAAACTGTTTAAAATATATGCAAGATTAATTAATAATCCCTAAATTTAAGTTGAATATATTGTGGAAGAAAATAAAATTCCACATTTACAGAATATCTAAACATCTTTTTTTTTTTTGCTTATTCTCCTTTATGCTTCAGTTAGTTCAAATAGTTGGCTACACAGTCTTTTTTCTTTTGAGATATTTTAAATAGAATATTGAAGATGAGTGAACCTTATATGTTTCACTGCCATGCAGTATCTTGCTTAGGCATAAAAATTAATTTCAGCTGTTGGAAAAGTATTTGAGGCAAGTATTATACTTCAGTAACTTTCATAGCTCCAAATAAATTATAGAAAACATTTCTATTGTCTTTTAAATCCGTCAATTTCCTGTTGATTCTGTGTGTTTTTGTTTTGTTTTTTAAAGGACAGTATGTTACCCAGGCACTCAGTGAATTTTTGTTTTGTGTGTGTCCTCATTCTATATCTCATATACTAGACATATAGGGATAAGACTTTATAGAATTAATAGATTCATTGACATAACCTAAGAAGAAAATGTTACCATTATTATTAATCATGTAATTAAACTTTAAACTTTAGTTTAACATTAAATTTTAGCTGTTTTTGTTTAATCAGGCCTTGCCTTTAACAATTTTTGAACAGCTCTTAGATAAGTACTAAAATGGCTGTTAGGAGGCTAAAGGATAGCTATATTTATGTCATCAGTCAGTCTTTCTTCTATTCCCTAAATATCTTTTAATCCATTCTTTTCTTTCCAAGCCCACTGATGCTATTTAGTTCTGGGCCTCCACCATCTCTCAGCTGAACTATTGTAATGATGTTCTGACTAGTGTCTGTGTCTACTTCTCTTACTATTTCTAACTTCTAATCCATTTGCCAAATTAAAGTCATAATAAAACTGAAAACAAAACAAGGCAGTGTTACTTTCCTGACTTAAAATTCTTCAATGAATTCTTTGTGGCCTTAGGATGAAATCTAAATTTTTAAAAATAATGTGGCTTAGAAAATCAGGGGTGCCTGGGTGGCTCAGTTGGCTAACTGTCTCACTCCTGGTTTTTCAGCTCAGGTCATGATCTCACAGTTCATGAGATGAAGCCCCACTTCAGGCTCTGCACTCACTGCATGGAGCCTGCTTGGGATTCTCTCTCCCTCTCTCTGCCCCTCCCCCACTCACTTTCTTTCTCTCTCTCTTTCTCTCTCTCTCTCCCTCTCTCTCAAAATAAATAAACATTAAAAAAATAAAGTGGCTTATAAAATCAAAAGAACTGTGGTTACTTAAAGGCCAGGCCATCTATGGTTGGCTGACTGAACCATAATTGCTTAATGTGAATTCTCTTCCCAGACTGGTAAAAGTAAAATATGAAAGTGGAAGCAGCAGAATAAGACAACAGTAAGTGTTTAAGAGGACATGAGCCTCTTAGAACAGAGAGAAACTTTGGGAGCACAGTTTTAAAACTAAATGTAGGCTCAGAGGCAAAGGTGTGATTGCCATTATTCATAATTGCTCCCATAGCTAGTATGGCATGGGAGTTAGGAAGCTGAGGTTAGTCTTATCTTAATTCTCATTTAGGGATGGTCTTCCCTCTATCTTAAGTAATTGTCCTTTTAAAATCTAAACTTGTATGAGAGCTCCTTATTTACCCATGTCAACTTATGGGAGACACTTAATTTTGAGATGTACTCATTTCTCTCAAGCCACCTTCCTCTTTATAAGGCCTCAATCATTTCTAAATCTAAAGTATAATTGAAAAGCCAAAGTGAACACCTGAAATTAGTTAGGACTCAAAAACTAAATTGATATATACAAAACATTTTAATTCATTCACTAAAGGCAATTT